TGCAAAGCTTCACTTAATGAAGTAGGTTTCATACATCTAATTGTTGTCCCTAAAGGTTCCCTTAAACCAGTTAAAAAGGTATTTAAAGCTAAATCGTTATATAAATCGCGTTTTAATGCTTTAGATGCAAGGATGTGTTCGTGAGCATCAACATAACTGCACAAAAGATTTAGGATGTTTAAAACTCTATCATAAAATTGTTGTGGTTTTTCAGTAGCTCCTTGTTTCATCATAACAAGATCCCTATTTAAACAAGATTCATCTCTCTGATCTGCAAAGTTTCTAGTTAATACTGATTTTAAATCGTTGAAACATTTTGTATATTTACTACTAATTTGGCATTGCCACTTAATTTTGAAATTAAACAATTTAACAGATAAACATTTTGAAAACAATTTGGCTGAGCAATATTATAAAAATTATCAATCAAAGATGAGCATACGGATAAATATCTATTTAATTCATTCGGGTTACCGTCAAAGTTGGGTACACAAGTTAAGTATTCTGGTTTAAAATCAGGCATTATTATTTCTAAATTATTTTCGAGATTCGAGTCAGTTGAAGGGTCTAAATATAAATTAGAAAGAATATTTGACAAATCGTCAATTACGGACATGTGAAATGTACTTACAATAAAAATATAACTTTGAGCATCCCTCTATAGAAATAAATCCAGGTCAGCAATTTTTGTCGTTCCCAGAAAATATCTCTGCAGAATTGAACTATTTGGGTTTCAATTCTCTCTTCCGCTTTGGATCCACTATTCTTGTCGGGTCTGCGATAGACTGGGTTTCCTGAAGTTCAAGGAGCCACTCCGGAACAATGTCACAAACGAAAGTCACTTAAGTTCGATATACGGTAAATCGTAGAAACGAAAATCGATATGTTCGATACAAATCAATCCCGATATCCTACTGACTGCGCCAATTAACTCCTACTAACTCAAAGTTCGTTTTTTAAAAAAAATACTTTTATTACTTAATACAACAATTATACTTTTAATTACAACTTAACAATATGGAATCTAGCAACTGACTGACTACTCTAAAAGAAAATAAAAACGTCTAACAATAAAAAATGCAAAATAAGATAAAAATGAACATATCAGAACAAAGAGTTTTACAATGTCAGCATTCTTCCATAAGGGCCATGTATAGGAGTCGACATAATTCATGCAACGAAGACTATAGTAACTCATTATTTCCAGTTTTGAGAAAATCTAAGATAATATAGTATTCAAAGTATTTTATGGCCTAAAATGACTATATTTGATGGTAGTATTTCTGGTTGCTTAACCTCTTCGTTTAGATATACGATACTTATTTAGATCAAAGCTTTTGGCAAATATATGTGCTGGATAAAGGTAACTAAAAACTCTCAAAAATGAGTCTTCGTTGCATGGGTCGAGTTGATTCTGTTGGTAAAAAGGCTATTATTATAAGCAATAAATATAAAAATCAAATATTTTTTTTATTTTTCCTGTTAACAAAATATGCCAATGTTTACATAATAATAAACGTTCTTTATTGAGTTACAATACCCAATAGGCCATCTTCCGAAGTACTTCAGCTGATTTGACTGTATTTTCTAGTACAATATGTTAAAGTTGTTAATACCAGTGAATGAACACAACTCTTTGTCAGATTTTAAAAGATCTGAAATTGTTTTAATTTTTGGGGTATGCGCACTTGTACACTAATGGCAATATACTTGAAAAAGAGTATTTGCAACCTCTGTCTTGTTTGGCGTGAGTAGCTAGGTTATCTTGAAACAAATCACTCTCAACTATGACTTTGTTTAATCTCACTATCACATTTAACACTCATTGAACTTTTTTTAGTTTGGACACAAAATCTTTATTCTGTGGTTTGGATCTTCTTTTTGTTTTCTCAATATTTGATTTTGAAATTTATTGAACAGAATCGTCAAACATTTACTTAAAAACTGGCAGGAAGACACAGCGATTTTTTTTTATATTTATTTTCACTTTGGATGAGGCATCTACAACACAAAAAAATCTGATGTGTCCAACACATGACTTTCCTATCTAGTTATTACAGGCTTTTTCCGTTTATTGTGTACAACCTATTGCAGCATCTCTATAAATGTTTAGAGGATAAACTAAATATATACATTGTCCACATACATCTACCGCGAAACATTTTTCTATAGATATTCATGGAAAATGAAAATACTGAAAAATTTAAATTTAGCACTTTTCCTAAAGTTGGTAAATGTAGGGTAATTTTTATTTTATAAATTGCAAGTGGAAATTCTGCAAGAAATGCATGGTTACAAAAATTAAAAATTGAGGAAGATGATATGCCTAGAGGTAATATAGTTTTATTTTTCCATTGAATGTTTTTATTTTACCTTTTTACTTTCCTATCTGTATACAGATATAAGGAAAGTATAGGAATCATGATTTTTTTCGACCTCGAGTTTTCGACGGATTTTCACGTTTTGAGGTCCCTTGAATCCGTTTTGACTATTTTCGCGATGATGTCTGTCTGTCTGTGTGTGTGTGTGTGTGTGAGTGTGTGTGTGTGTGTGTGTGTGTGTGTGTGTGTGTGTGTGTGTGTGTGTGTGTGTGTGTGTGTGTGTGTGTGTGTGTGTGTGTGTGTGTGTGTGTGTGTGTGTGTGTGTGTGTGTGTGTGTGTGTGTGTGTGTGTGTGTGTGTGTGTGTGTGTGTGTGTGTGTGTGTGTGTGTGTGTGTGTGTGTGTGTGTGTGTGTGTGTGTGTGTGTGTGTGTGTGTGTGTGTGTGTGTGTGTGTGTGTGTGTGTGTGTGTGTGTGTGTGTGTGTGTGTGTGTGTGTGTGTGTGTGTGTGTGTGTGTGTGTGTGTGTGTGTGTGTGTGTGTGTGTGTGTGTGTGTGTGTGTGTGTGTGTGTGTGTGTGTGTGTGTGTGTGTGTGTGTGTGTGTGTGTGTGTGTGTGTGTGTGTGTGTGTGTGTGTGTGTGTGTGTGTGTGTGTGTGTGTGTGTGTGTGTGTGTGTGTGTGTGTGTGTGTGTGTGTGTGTGTGTGTGTGTGTGTGTGTGTGTGTGTGTGTGTGTGTGTGTGTGTGTGTGTGTGTGTGTGTGTGTGTGTGTGTGTGTGTGTGTGTGTGTGTGTGTGTGTGTGTGTGTGTGTGTGTGTGTGTGTGTGTGTGTGTGTGTGTGTGTGTGTGTGTGTGTGTGTGTGTGTGTGTGTGTGTGTGTGTGTGTGTGTGTGTGTGTGTGTGTGTGTGTGTGTGTGTGTGTGTGTGTGTGTGTGTGTGTGTGTGTGTGTGTGTGTGTGTGTGTGTGTGTGTGTGTGTGTGTGTGTGTGTGTGTGTGTGTGTGTGTGTGTGTGTGTGTGTGTGTGTGTGTGTGTGTGTGTGTGTGTGTGTGTGTGTGTGTGTGTGTGTGTGTGTGTGTGTGTGTGTGTGTGTGTGTGTGTGTGTGTGTGTGTGTGTGTGTGTGTGTGTGTGTGTGTGTGTGTGTGTGTGTGTGTGTGTGTGTGTGTGTGTGTGTGTGTGTGTGTGTGTGTGTATAACGCATAACTCATGAACCGATACATGGAAAAACACCAAATTTCAAACTTAAGCTTTGTTCCAGCGTCTAATGAGCTGATAAGATTTTGGGCAGAGTCGGAACATCTGGGGGGGTACTTTATAGGTGGTCATTTTTATATTTTATGAAATATATCTGTTATTTACGTTAGGGGAAGAAAATTCTTTAAATGAAAGTTACTTCTTATTTTATTGTCTATAATTTTTGTTATATACAAAATTTTCCTAAAATGGTCCGTATTCGCGAAATTTGACAAAATGTAAAAAAATATTTTTTTTTATAAAAATTGTTTAAACAAAAGTTGTTTGTAATATAATTCTCTATAATTTTTATCCTATAGATAATTTCTCTAAAATGGACCGTATTTGAGATATTTGAGAAAATGTGTAAATTTCGAAATTTGAAGAAAACTCAAAAACGGATTAAGAAAAAAACATAAAATTTTAAACCTAAGTTTTATTTAGGCCTGACGTGAAATGATTAGATTTTGGACAAAGTCGGAACATCTGGGGGGGTACTTTATGGGGGGGCGTTTTTATATTTTATGGAATATATCTGTTATTTATGTTTGGAGAAAAAAATTGTTTAAATAAAAGTTACTTCTAATATTATTATCTATAATTTTTGCTTTATGTAAAAATTTCCTGAAATGGTCCGTATTCGAAAAATTTGACAAAATGTGCAAAATTCTGATTTTTATGAAAATTGTTGAAATAAGAGTTGTTTGCGATATCGATCTCTATAATATTTGTTTATACATGATTTTTTTAAAATGGACCGTAATGGAAAAATTGTAGGAAAAGTGCTAAATTTAAATTTTTCAGTATTTTCATTTTCAATGAATATCTATAGAAAAATGTTTCGCGGTAGATGTATGTGGACAATGTATATATTTAGTTTATCCCCTAAACATTTATAGAGATGCTGCAATAGGTTGTACAAAATAACCGGAAAAAGCCTGTAATAACTAG